GGAGACTGCAAGGCCTGGGACACTGAGGTGGAAAAGCCCCTCTGCTCTCTGGCACTGGGGGAACCTCTCCAAGCCRTCATGATGTTTCCCCAGCAATTTTGTTTTCTTAAAACACAGTGCATCATTTAAGCTACCCTATAGACAGCCGATGCTGTGAAAGCAGAGGAAGGGGCAGGGAGAGTTTCTGCAGAAGGGTRTTACTGCCACACAGGGACACCTGCGAGGAGCTGGCGGGGACTTGGTGACGGGCAGCGGMCGTGGTGGCCGCTCCGGCGTGTGAACCTGCGTCCTGGCCAAATTCCCATGGTCCTTCCCGCACCTCCRCTGTGTCAACAGCGCCCGGCGCTTCGCGTGCAGCGGCCACTCAAGGTTAGCACTGCCGAGATAAGGCTGCGGCGCTGGCGGGCGCGAGGGACCCTCGGGACTCGCGTGGAGTCGCGGGCTGCCCGTGCGTCCCGCAGCGCGACCGGCAGCACGGACCCCTGCACGGCCCCCCGGCTCCCACGTAAGTCCCGCATCGCCCCCCCTCCTGATAACCCCCTGTGCACCCCACGGGCCTCTGCACTGCTGCCCGACCCTCCCTCGCCCACCTTGCAGTTGCGAAGGGCAAAGGAATTGGGCGGTTGATTCCTAAGGACTTGTATTCGCCTCCCTTYTGTGCTTGTCAAGATATTTGCTTTCTGTCGCTTCAGCCTGTGGAATTTTCTTCTAATGGTACTGGTGGTACTGGGTCTTTCACTATGATTGCAGTGTGTGCAATTCCCTGTAGGATCCATAGGGGATCCATCCATAGTGTGTTTGGCCCATCAAGGTTTAATTTTTTTGAGGTATGAATTTGTGCCAAGTGTTTATATCTTTGCTTTCAGGAAAGAACCTGATTGAATATATGAATTAGGATTTCACATTTGGCTTTATGGTGATTTTTGGCTTTATGGTGAAAAACATTTTTTATGTTTTTAGTTTTGACTGTGTTTTTTGATGCAGAATCTGCTTCCTGTGCTAATGAACTGAGCTTAATTGCACACACAAGGCAGCAACAATTTCCTTTAAAGCCAAATTCTGGCTAATAGCAGTGAAGCTCATGCCCTGCTGCTCCCTCTGGAAATGAAATGGAGAGAGTCCAAAATCAGAGCATCGCTGCAGGGACAGTGATACAGCCCTGGGGAGGTATCGTGGGAGCATCACGCAGAGCTGCAGGGATTTGGGCGCCCTTGCTCCCCACCTTAGCCTTGGTCTCCCCTGTGAAACAGTCCTACCCAGCAACAAGATTATTACCCTCATTCTATGGATGAGGTGACCAAGATAAATACAGGTGCGGTGCCACATGGCCACCCCCTGTCTCGGCGGCAGAGGGGTTGAAAATTCAGGTCTTCTTATCCTGTTTGGCTGCAAACGCCTGGGCTGCCTCCCTCGCAGGTATCGCTCTCCTGCCATCCCCATCCAGCTGCAGGGACCTTGTGGGCAAGAGCCAGAGCTGCTCCTTGCCGCAGCCCGGGGCGGCCTCTGAGCCTCTGCCTCCTGCCACAAAGCATCTGACCTCGGGCCTGCAAAGGGCCGCGTGTCTAAGGCTGTCACTTTTTCCCGGGAATTGCTAAACGCATCCTTTCCGCTGCCGGCTCGYGGCTACAGCGGGGGAACCCCGTCCCTCCGCCGGCGGGGAGCAGTGAGGAAACAGAGCCRGAGTCGTGTTTATTAGGAAAATTAACAGGCCGAAGGGAATAACCGCCCTGYGCCGCGTTGCAGGCTCGCTGCCTGCCGGGGGCTGCGCGCGACGTCCCCGCCGGCTCCCCGGGGGCTTYGGGAGTCCATGGCCCCGAGGGGTGGCAGGAGGTGCCTGGGCTGCCCCGCGGGCTGCGGGAGGCGCAGGGAGAGCCCCCCCAGTGATAAAGYGGCAAAAACCTCGGGAAAGTGGGAGCCACGTCCAGCAGCGGGAAGCGGGAGCCCGGCGGGAGCCGCGCGCCCCCCACGCTCTTTCCGTGCCCAGGTGCCCGCGGCTCCATGGCCCTGCTGGGGAGACTCGACCGGCAAGTAGGTAGCACGCTGCCCGTCGGGGGCGGGAGGTGGGGGGTTGCCCGGCTTTTGCGCCGCCTTTGCGCCCCTCYGCGCGTGTTTGGTGCAGGAGTTGTGCGGGGAGTGCCCGGGGGCTGCGGCCGCCTTCACACGAGCTCCGCGGGAGCAGAGGGGAAGCGCGGACAGGCTGCAGCCGTGTCATTACCACGACAGATAYGTGTGTGTTTGAAGAATTTGAAGAGGAAGAGGGATGCGGCTAATTAGCATCCCCACGCTCTCTTTTAATTGCTGCCAAATAGGAAAACTACTGGATGTGACAGGGGCTCTGCAGTTGGCTTTGGCCGCCCTCCCAAGGGAAGGGAATGGGCACAGTTGAGGGCTTCAGGGCTCCATGGAGGAAACTGCGTCCTCGTATAAAGAGAATTGGGGGTGTGTGGGAGGAGGAGCTAAACTTCCGGGAAACGAGCATTTTTTCTTAAAAATAGGTGATGTCTCGAAGCACAGGCACCATTAAAAAATAAATAATAATAATTGTACAAGGTTGCCACCTGTGAGCAGCCCCCCTTACTCCCCACGGCCGTTCCTGTCCACCTCGGGAGGGGCGGGTCCCTGCAGACCCCCACTCCCGAGCCTGGGAGCTCCTGCACAGAAGGGAGTTTCGCTCGGGAGAGTTTGGCCACGCGCAGGAGGGGACACCGAGCCGGGCTGCAGGTGRCACCTGGAGGTCTGTGCTCGGGTTAGGAAGGCGCAGTTAGGAGGGAATCTCCCAAAGCCCCCCGTTGGGATCCCTCCCGTTTCCCTCCAGGAAAGGCCCGAGCAGATGAGGAGCTGCCCGGTGTCCACGCGTTCGGGCTCGTTCAAAGGCTCGCGGGGCGCGGGAGGCCGCGCAGYGCTGCGCGCACAGCGCAYCCGGCAGCCGCTCCCTGCRCTGCGATTCCCGGGAACCGCCGCTTGTGCGGGTCGAGCCGGGAGAGCAAGTGGGTGTTTCGGAAAGTTTGCCTTAAACTTCCCCCTATTTAACCTTTTCGCTGTTTCCAGGGGTTGGTTTGTCTTCTAGGAAGAAGAGTGACTATTTGGAGCGTTTTGCTTAGACAATTTGTTCTAAATAATCAACTTTTTTTTTTTTTTTTAAATCATCAAAGAAATATAAGAGAAATGCATAGGAGAATTGCTCCTATGTTCTTGCTTTTGGCCACCAAAATCAGCAAAATGAGTGTTGAGACCTTGAAAAAAAAAATAAAGAATGAGAATGTCAGATTCGCTCTTTAGTATCAGTCATTTGCTCAGTCGTTTCCGAGTAAAAAACAAAATCAAGCTTTTGAGTTTATGCTAAAAATGACCACAATTGCTACAATGCAGAATTTCTTTTGAAAGAAGATGAACTGATTCCAGACCTGAGAAGCTCGACAGTTCCATTGCTCGTTTCTTTTCAAATCCATCTTGTCCCTTTAATACAAATGAACTTTAAGCTCCCCCTGTCTTTTATTATTTAGATTCCTAGTCTTAATGACGCCAGGAGCAGCGCGAGCACACTCGCTAATAATCGTCGCGAACTGCATTTCAAAGAAACATCCCTGGAAGAAAAACACCCTCGTTTAAAAAAAAAAATAAATAGAGACTCCACCAAAAATGATAATGCGGAGTCCCTGCTGATGATGGGCTTAATGCAACTCCTGCAAATCAGCACCTGCATGTTAGATAAGGCAGATAACACCTCCAACAGTTAGTTCCAACGCCGCCGTCCTCCTCGATTTTATTTTTAGATCCTTCCTTGAAGGGTTTTTTTTTTTCCCCCGTTTCTTTTCTGGTCCTTAGGGGGAAAAAATAAAAATAAAAAGGAAACGATGAAGTGGTTTAAAYCTAAAGGCTTGGGTATTTTTCGGGCCTTTAATACCCGCGCCCAAGCGGCTGGTCCCCGGCTCAGGGGTAGCTGCGGAGATCTCCGCAGCCAGCCCCGTCCAGGGTCATCTTTTGTCTCTGCCACAATAAACAAACACTTGCTCCTCTCATGCAAATGAGCAGTGATCCGGATGCACCTAAAAACACTGGGAGAAGTCGCTGCTTTTGAAAACGATGTTCATTTCGTCTGGCACGCATAACTGCATAGATCAAATGCCTGCAGAAAGGTAGCAATTTTGCAGAGCAATATTTTCGAAGCTGAGATGAAAGTGTGCTTAGAGCGCCCAAAAGCGCCCGTCTTACTTCCCACCTGCTTCTCCAGCGCCAAATATCCCTGCGGAAAGATTAGAGCGGTTGGATTTTCGTTAAAAAAAAAAATAAAAATAAAAAAAATAAATAAAGAAAAGCCGTAGGACGATGAACCAGTGACACAATTCACACTGCCTCGGCGCTCAGGACGCTGAATCAGTTCTGCTTTACCTAAAAGGGGTTCGACACCACTGCCATAATCTTGTCGGATAATTAAGTAAATTATACCCTGAGCATTGGTAGCTTACAAGTTATAATCAGTAATTCAAACTCCCGACAATTATGCAAAGGGATTCCGACTCGCACTTTCTCACTCCTGCGAGGCGCAGTGGGGCGGCCGGGGCCGCGCTGCTCCGCGCTCCTCCGCGCGTGGGGCAGCAGGGGGGATGTCTCCTCCCGCGGACACGGCTTTTCGGGGCGGCCTGCGGGGACGAGGGGAACACCCCACGCGTGACCCCCTTCCCCGCCGTCGGGGCGTCCCTTCCCGTGCGCGGGCGCGGAGGGCCGCGCGGAAGGAGGGGCTTGGGCTGCGCGCGGCCTCCTGAGTGGCTGCGCGGGGCCGCCCGCGGGGAGCGCCGCGCCGGCGGAGCCGTCCCTGGGGAGGAGCTAGGATAATATTATTGCCATTAAGGGCGTCTGGGCCGGGAAAAAAAACCGTGTGAGCGGCGAGCGCGGAGCGTAGTCCGTGCGCAGTCTTCATGTGAGCCGCGTGCGGGGCCGCTCCTCTGCCCGCGCCCGCGTGGATTTACCGCCCGTGGCGGGGCGAGCAGCTCTCCGCGCCCGCGCACCTGGTCCGGACGCTGGACGCCATGTTGTGGAAACTAGCCGATAATGTCAAGTACGAAGAGGACTGCGAGGTGAGCGGGGGTGGGGGAGACGCCAGGGGGGCTGCGGAGCCACCCGCGCTGCGCCCCGACCCCGGTCCCGGCTCGCTTTCCCCTCCCCGGCTGCTCCCTCCGTTTATTTTTGGATAKGCGGGTTTTTTTCCTTTTTTAATTATTTTTGCACCAGTTGCCGTCGGTTTGCTCTGCCGGCACCTCTGGAAGGCCGAGGCGGGTGCGCGCCGCGGTGCCCCGCGCAGCCCCTGGCTCCGCGGCCGTCCGGGGGCCGCAGCGCGGGGCCGAGCGACCCGGCCCGGCYGCCGCGGAGCGGCCGCTGCTGCGATGAGTCGTCCGTGCTCTGCAGCCCCAGTGCGGGCGGTCCCGCTGCCCGGTGCCGCCGCGCCTGCAGCGGGTCCCGCTGCCCTCTCGCTCGCCAGCCCCGCTGTTGAGCGCCCGCCCGCTGGCCCCGCAGCTCAGTCCCGTGCAGGGAGCTGCGGGGCAGCGCTGCGCTGCGCACCCCGGGGCGACCAGGGACTCCCCCATGCCGCCTTCCCGCTGCGCGCRGGACAGCGCGGCCTCGGGCACACCCGGCCCGCGCGGGACTATATATATATATATTTTTTTTATGATTATCACTTTTTAACGATTTTCGAAGAACTTTTTTAACGCGTGCGCAGYCCCCCGCGCTCCCCGCCGCGCTCACCCCGCTCCGCTTGCAGGAGCGACACGATGGCAGCAGCAACGGCGGCCCGCGGCTGCCGCACCTCCCGGCCGTCAGCCAGCACCTGTACAGCCCCGCGCCGCCGCTCTCGCACTCGGCCGCCTCCGACTTCCAGCCGCCCTATTTCCCGCCGCCCTACCAGCCGCTGCCCTACTCGCAGTCCAGCGACCCCTACTCGCACCTGGGCGACCCCTTCTCCATCAACCCGCTGCACCAGCCGCCGCCGCCGCCGCCGCCCAGCCAGCAGCAGAGCGCCTGGCCCGGCCGCCAGAGCCAGGAGGCGGCGGCGCTGGCCCCGCACGCGCGCCCGGGGCTCGTCCCGCACCTGCCCGCGCTCGAGAGCGGCGCGCCCGGCGCCCGCCGCGACTCCTACCGCCGCGCCGAGCTGCTGCTGCCGCACGGCCACGGCCTGGACGCCTCGGCGCTGGCCGACAACCTGGGGCTGCACGACATGGCGCACCAGATGGAGGAGGTGCAGGTAGGGGCTCCTCGCCGCTCCCTTTGGGGCGAAACGGCCGCTTTTCGGCAGCCCCCGCGGCGCGCCGCCACACGGGGCGCCCCCTCTGCAAACTTTGCAACCTTCTCCCCTTTCTCTTTGCAGAATGTGGAGGATCAACACTTGTTAATGCATGACCAGACAGTCATTAGGAAAGGTCAGTAAGCTGGCACTGCGCTGTGCTTGCCCTTGGCAGTGGGGGAAATCTTCACTTGCGCGTGATGCCCCCTTGGGCCGCTGCCTCCTTGTCCTTAGGAGAAGGAGCCTTTGGGATCCCAGGGATTGCACCAGAGCTTCTGTCGCTGCTGCATGGGACAGCCCCGGGGGTCGTCCTCAAAMCAGGAGGCCTTATGGGTGTCCCCCCGCCTCTGCCTTTAGATATGTCTTTAATCAAAACCAGCATCTGAGGATGAATTTAATACTGTCCTGCAAAGTGCCACGGTCTTTCCTGGTTTTACTGCTCGCACTCGAGAGTGATTTGCCTTTTCTTTTGGTTTCTTCACAAGAAACACTGTCAATGAAAGAGTTCTCTGACTTAAGCCTGTTTGGTTTTATCTTAATCGAAATGGTTTGGTAGCAGAGATTTGAAGAAAGACGAGAGGAGCGCATGCCCCATTTAAGAGTACAAACAGTCAAGGTTTATTTTCTACTTTCGATTTAAAACAAATTTGTGTTCCCCTAACCAAAAAAAAAAAAAAAAAAAGTCAAAGTGGAAGTTTTCTCTCAAGATTTCAAACAAGTAAGTTAGCTGAGGAAAAGCAGAAGTGTTTGTCCGAGTGCTCGTTGTTGCCTTTAGCAATGGGAGAATTATTCTGCTGTCAAAAAATCTACCCCGCTCCGGGGAGCAAGGCAGTCTCCCTCCTTAACCCTTTCTGAGCGWGCCGGGAAAGCACCGGGGGTTAACTGGGTGGATTCGCAAGGGCTGGAAAAGCCGGATGTGCGGTTTGGTTCTTTGCAAAGCTGCTCTTGCCCCTGATCACCTGAAAGCCGAAGCTGCCAAGGAGCAGCAGCGAYTTTCGATTGTCCCCGCCGTGAGCGTGTCGGGACTCAGCTCGTGGGCCGGTCCCGAGAGCCGCTGGTGGCCGGGCGAGGGGAGAAGCCGCCTCTGCGGCAGCCTCGAGACCTCTGCCTGCTCTGGAAGAGGTTTTGGCACGAGCTGGGGGATGCTAATTTGTACTCGGCAGTTGTACCGGGCTTCTCATAAGTATGAATTTGTTAACTTGTGGCATGCTGTTTCACTGGGGTGTGTGCAGTGTTTTTTTTTTTTTTTTTTAAGCATTCTTAATTGCATTCAGCAAATGCTTGGAACTTAGTGCAACAAAAGGCTGCTCTTTGTTATTGTTTGGGGCCAGTTTGGGACCTTCTAACTGCAGTGGAGGGCAGTGCTGTTGCAGCACAGAGGAGAGACAGCGTCGAGCGTCTAGCACCAAACGAAATCCCCTCTTCTGGCCCTTGTTTTTATAGTGGAAATGCACTTGCCACTTCCTACTGACTYTTGCCTTTCATAAAATACCTACTTATTTATTCTTGCCTTTTGTAAAATACCTGCTTTCCCTCCTCCTCCTCCCGCAGGTCCCATTTCCCTAACGAAAAACAGCGCCCTGAGCCTGCCGTGCCAGAAGGATGGGCTAATCGGAGTGGTCATAAACCCCAACGAAGTGTTCTGCTCCGTCCCGGGGAGGCTCTCGCTCCTCAGCTCCACGTCCAAGTACAAAGTGACGGTCGCGGAGGTTCAGCGCCGGCTCTCGCCCCCCGAGTGCCTCAACGCRTCCCTGCTTGGGGGGGTGCTGCGGAGGTAGGCGACGGCCGCGCTCACCCCATCCCTTCAGGCTGGGCTTTAAGCTTGTTCAGCAGGGAGCCAAGAAAGGGGGGGATCTGAAGCCTTTTGGCAAACTTGTGCCAAAAGTGTTTTGTTGTTTGTTTGTTTGTTTGAATCCTGACACTGCATCCTAATGGGCTTTGGAAATAGCACTTCTTTGCACATCCACCCCTTCTCTGGAGAAGTGCTATTAACAGCTCCGACAGCGGTTCTCGTTCTCCGTCTGAAAGTCTGTTTTGTTTTTTTCTTTTTTTTTAATTTATTTTTCTCTTTCTGAAACTGCTCCTGGAGCTTTCTCATTGCAGTGACAAATTGTCTCCCCGTGAAATGATTTTTAGATTGAATCACATGATCTTGATTTGACATTTAAAAGGATGCTTTCTCTACCCCTGTTTTGCAAACAGTGTTAATCTGGGCTGTGATCATTCTACAACTGTTGGTTTCAATGTTGTAGTTTTAAATGTTCTTGAATTTAGACTTCTGTGTTTCATCCTGGCTGGCTGCTTTTTGAACATTTCAAAAGTAGGTCACTTGAAAAGAGAGCCTGTTTTTTATCTTACCCCCCAGTAGAACCTTATTGAATGTCAGCAACTGGAATTTCTCATCTTAAAGAAAAAAGGTCCCCTTGAAGATAAATAAGGCCATTTTTTTCCCCTCTAATTACAGAGCCAAATCTAAAAATGGTGGCAGATCATTAAGGGAAAAACTGGATAAAATTGGCTTGAATCTTCCAGCTGGTAGAAGGAAAGCAGCAAATGTGACGTTATTGACGTCTTTGGTGGAAGGTCAGTCTTGAATGTTTCTTAAACTAAACTTTTTTTTCTTCTCCCTTATGTACAGCTTATATATTGCAGGCTAAGCATAGAAAAGTTAGAAAATAGACTGGTTTGAGAGAGTTTTTTATGTTTTATATTTCAAGCGGGCACGTGGGTGATGCTGCGCTGTCGCCGGGGCTCCTGTGCCCCCTTCTCCCTTGTTGGCTGCCCTGCAGCGGGAGCTGGGCACCTTGACCCTCCTCCTCCCCGCTGCCTTCCTCCAGGGACGCTTGGGGGTTTTGAGCGTACATGGGGCAACACAAGAGGGGAAATGCAGCTTGTTGGTGGATTTGGTGCCTCCTGGGACGCTCTGACGTGCAGGGGCYGCGGCGCCTGGCCCCGCTCCTAATAAAGGAGCGTATAAAGTGAGATTTATAGTGCTCGACTTCCTGATAGGAAACTGGAGCCCCTTTAATCTGCCGCGTGTTACGTGGACCCTCCATGAGCTCCGCCGAGCTTGACGGATGTGTGTATTTATGCCTGCGTGTGGTTGTGTTACGTGTTCTCWTTCAGGGCAGCAGTAGCGGGGCCATTTATTAGGATGGGAAGGTGCAATTTAATAGGAATGGAAGCAGCGATTTAAGTGTGGAAAAAATGGTAGAGTCCCTTACTTGTATTGCATTTCTGCATTACTGCTACTTCAGCAGCTWCCACTTTAAACCTCTTTGGGAAGTTAGTGCTGAAAGGCTGGGAGTGTATGAGAGCACTCGGCTGCATGTTCGTGGCCATGTGCACATTGCGGGACATACTGTCGGATCGTGCCTGCCAGTTGGGAAGCCTGAAAAAATCCCTATATTAAAAAGTAGCCTAGCTATATTTCTTTTTTCTCTCAATTTTATCTATATGATTATTAGAAAATTTATTACAAAATAAATTAAACCAAAGAGTCATTTATTGCATGGGTGGAATTTGATTATGAGTTTTAAAATATATTAGTGAGTGGTTTCTATTTTGTTGGAGGACTAGCCTTAATTGTGCAGCTCATCTGGGGAGAGGCAAGATTTTTCTTTCAATTATAAGAGCAAGGGACAATTATATATTAAAAAAAAAAAATTTTAGCAATCATGTCTTCCCACCCCGCAATTGCAGTTTTACAAAGACAAATTGTTTATCTATTGATTAGAAAATRGTAGCAAACGTTTAGGATGGGGGAAAAATGCCTGTGTTTATTTGTAAAATAAATAAATAAAAATAAGAGCATACCTCAAGAATTCCAAGTACCATGCTTAATTCCATGGTCTTATAGTAAACAGCTGTAATTACATTTAATGAGCATTGCCTTTCCCGTGCCAGGTGAAGCTGTGCATCTTGCTCGTGACTTCGGTTATGTGTGCGAGACAGAGTTTCCGTCCAAAGCAGTGGCCGAATATTTAACTCGACCGCACATGGGCCGCAATGAAATGGCAAACAGGAAGAATATGCTTCTTGCTGCAAAGTAAGTTTTGGGAATTTCATTTATTTTTCCGACTTTTCTTTTTCTTTTTTTTTTCTTCTTTTTAAAGATGTTTTTGCTGGCCCATAAGTGATTGTATACAGAGTTGGGTGCATTCTCTTGTGGAGTTTTAATCAGGGAGATGAAACAGCTCTTTTGATCTGGTTCTGGTTTCAATTCAACTATGGCAGCAGTTGTTTGAGTTTGAACCAATGATACTTGTGTGATAACTCTGAACCAGCCTGAAGCAGTTTATGCTTAAAAAGGAAGAAAAAAAAAAAAGAAAAAAAGAAAAAAAAATAGAAATGACTTAAAAGTCACTTGCTAGGACAGCCAGGTCTCCACAAAACAGGAGATGTCCCCAGGTTTGGTAGAGGGGGTGCAGATGTCCCCAGTCAAATGTGGTCGGGGCAACCCATGGTAGATGTGAGAAGTCCCTGTGCTCGCTGCCTGCTCTCTGAGGACACGGGTGAGCAGGGGAAGGGCTGGTGAAGGGGGGGCTGTGGTGTCACTGTGCTGCAGACCCGGTACATGCTAAATAACCGTGTTCCCGGGAGGCAGTTCATGGTTTTGGTTACGTTCCCTTTAGATGTGGGGCTGAGGTGCTGCGAGCTGAGGAGGTCCCTGGCTCTGCTCCGTGCTGCTTGGGACCAGACAGGAGGGTCCCTGGCTCTGGAGGAGCTCCTGAGGAATGGCTCTGGAAGGGCTTGGGACCCTGGGATGTGCGGTGCGTGCTCTGTCCTGCTAGGAAGTTCCCACTCTCCCTGTGGGCGATCCCCCTTGAGAGGACTATATCCCCTAGCCACAATATCACGCTTCCTCACCACAGCTTGGACCTCACRCATCCCGCTGAGCGCTACCCCTCCACCTCGGTGTGTGAATGTGATGAGCGTTGTTGGTGCTCAGCAGTGGTCGCTGCTGCCTTGGAAGACGTTTGCAGGGGCTGTGCTGGGGCTGCTCGGCCTGTGGACGGCTTTGCAGGCACAAACAACATATGCTTGGGCGTCACGAGCCGCGTTATGTTTTGCCAGACACATGTTTGTGTTTGCAGGATTAGGGCCTAGGCGTCCGTTAAAGGAGACGTATATGTGCAACGTGCACAGCTCAATGCAATCTCCTATTCAACTGCTTGTGTATTTTTTCTAAGTCATTTGATTGCAGCTGTGGAAGTTCTCACAGAAACTAGCCCAAAATTCCCAGCTTTCCTCCTGCTAAAATGTGGAGCAACTGATGTGGCGCTAGGCAGGCACCAGAGATGCAGAGAGGGAGGATGCTGCAGTGCCTGTCYGTGGCTGGGGGATGTGCACATGGAACAGGAGCCTTGTTAGGAGTTGACACAAAATTAAATTTTAAAATTGGGCTAGGAAATGGGGCTAAATCTTAACATTGGGCTCATTCTGTTGCTGGAGTAATGAATTTCTCAAACTCTTAGTGGTTCCCATGTATTGAATCAGTATTGAAGAGCTTATAGCTGTTCATTTTCAGTGCTGCTTTGGGAGGGTAAATGATGATCTGCAAGGTTTGCAGCCCAGGGTGACGGCTCTGTGTCTTGCAGGCAGATCTGTAAGGAATTCACCGACCTCCTCACTCAGGACCGAACTCCTCTGGGCAACACGCGCCCCAGCCCCATCTTGGACCCTGGCATCCAGGGCTGCTTGACTCATTTTAGCCTGATCACACATGGCTTTGGGAGCGCTGCCATCTGTGCTGCCATGACATCCGTCCAGAACTACCTAAATGAAGCGTTAAAAATAGCAGACAAAACGTACATGAACGCTGGCGACCAGAGCCCCGCAGAGACCAACAAACCCATGGATAAAATGGACAAGCACAGGAAGTAAAAGCAGAGACACCAGACTTTAAACTCTTCCTCCCAAGCACGGACTGGGATCTTCTTGCCGGGGGGAATGTAGAAATTTGGTTACTATTTTTTTTTTTTTTTTTTTTTTGAGAGAGAGTCAAAAAAAGGAAAAAAAAAATCATCTTATTCAGGATCTTCACTCCCCCTGGATTCATGAGACAAGTATTTAAAAGCTGCAGTATCCCTTATCTGTGGAAGCAATTACCAGAAGATAAGTCCTTGGTACAAGTGTATTGAAACCTTTTGCTGTAAAAGTGGTGCTATATAAGGATTTTTGTTGGAAATTATACAAAGAGATATATCTAGATTTTTTTTTTCCAACCTCTAAATATCCAGTGGTGACCAGCTTCATGTATAGTTTTTAAAGTACAGATTTTAGATGGGAACCTATGTGTTACCTGACAGAATTTTAGGGTTTTATTCTCTCTAAATGCAACAGTAACAATAAAGCAGTATTAAACAATGGTATATAGATTCATGTACATTAATTTTTTTTATAAACACCTGAAAATAGTAAGATTATTCTGTTCTTTGATTTATTTTCAAATTCTCATAGGAGAGTACTAAAGTCCCGGTAGATGTAAAAGTTATCTGATGGCATTTGACATGCTTATTTTTTATGGAAATATTCAATCTTTCAGGAACTGCAGTAATGTTGGCTGCAGTGGGATATTAATATTTTTTTAACAAGGAATAATTCAAAATGAAAATGCTTTTAGAAAATGAATTTTCTGTGTCTAAGGATATTGCAGCTTTATTCACGTATTTATATTGTGTCTTGTTTTTAAATTGGGGGGAACAGGACTTGAAAGAATAGGCACATAACTTTTTTTTTTTTTTTTTTTAACTTTTGTCTTTGCCTATTAAGGCCAAAATTACTTCCAGGGAGGCTTTATGTGTATTAAGGGAAGCAGTGTGTCGAATGTAAATATTTATTTATGTGTAATTTAATCGGATTTGTAAATAATGGTGAACTTTTTAAGACTTTTTTTTTTATAAATGGGTTTCAAGTTTTAATTTTGGTAAGTATTTCAAAGGTAATGGGGAAGCTAAACATATCTCTAGGTTTATGCACAGGTATGTTATACAGGGTATTTAAGACTTTTTTTTTTAATATCTCGATTCTTGCCACTGCAGATTAGATTTAATCGGAGGTGTTATGTTCACAAAGCAATAATTTTGTGCATCATTCACCTGATAACCGACTAGACCTGCGAACTGAGTGTGTGAGTTGGTGTGTATGTGAATAATGGAGGTTCCGACCTATCTTGACATATTTGTAATGTTCCCACTATAATTCTGATGTATATGATAACCATATAATAAAAGTATTCTGGATAGAAGCATGGAATGTTTTGTTAACCAAAAACGGTTTTGCTTTCTTTCTATCCTTGAGGAATGTGGGGTGAGTAGCACTAGAGGACATTATGTATTGAGTCATAATTGCAGCACTTTGTTCAGATTAACAGAACAGAAATACGGAGCTGTTTGCCAGTAAAACTAATGGTTTCAATTAAACACGTTATGTATCTCCAAGAATCCCTTTTTTTTTTTTTTTTTTTTTTTTCTTCCTCTAAGATGTCATTATTTGAATAGTAGCTCAAGATGGATTTCAAGACTTCTCTTATTAAAAGTCAATCTTAATGGCTTTGTTTTATAGCCCATCTGATTGTATTGGAATCTGCATCTGTCATGATAGATGTTTGCAAAATCTTGGTATTTAAACTTAATATATTTCCTGTCTGGTTTTAGTCCCATCTTACTGATTTGTGGAAACTTTTGTGCTAATTTACACTGTGCTGCGGTGGTGATGATGGATGCGAAGCCTTCAGGGGCATTCGGTGTCCCAGCTGCAAAAGGACCAGGGATGCCTTCCTGCAGCAAAGCTTCTCGAGAAGTGCTTCTTCGAGTGCTTCTCGAGATGGCAGCCTCTRACCCGAGTGTCATCCCACCCTTGTAAACCCCTGTCTGGTGCATGACGAGGGCAAGAGTTCAAAAGGATGGCCCAGCCATGAGAAACTGCATGTAAATGCTTGGCTAGCATTACTTGTGCCCTGCTCTATTGAAAGATAGAGGGAAGAAATAATATGCACGACTTCTGAACTTCTGAATACTKGGTTTTTATTATACATTATATATTTTTTATTCCTCCCCCTCTAAACCATTACGGCAAAGCAACTGGAGGTGCATGGAGAGAATGAGGGGAAGTGCAGAGAAATGAATGAATTTGCTCTTCCAGTGATGAGCTGGAAGAAAGTTGCGTTTTGATTTGCAGTCCTCTCTGGATGAGGTGCGACATTCCTGTCTTTGCATTTGTTAAGCCCCTTCTAGCGTCGGAGCAATAAGCAGTTGGGACCATCTGTAAGCACCAAACATATTTAGAATGTGTCATGACTAGCAGAACTTGTAAAGTACATCATACACACATGCACACACAAAATGATAGGAGACTAAAGGACGGYTTCTGCTTAGAGGGTGAGATATGAAAGTTTTTTGGGTGGTGGGTACTGTTCCTACTGATGGGCTGCTTGAGCAGGGTACATTAGTACGAGATTTTAGCTACCAGACAATGGAATCTTGCTTTTTTATTAATGCACAAAACGAGGCTCTGAACTAATTGCCCCTTGGGATAGGAAATAGGGATGTTTCTATTTATTCCTGCATGCATTCAAGCAAAGCCAGTCAATTGTCTAATGTACTGACTGAGGTTCTATTTATATATTTGGAACATTTGAAACATTGGAAATGTTGAGTTTCCATTACCTTAATGCTTTTCCTCTACTATATATTTTAGATGGCACTTCTTTTGAGGCTCGGGTCCCTCACAGCTGTCTCAGTGCTATGAAACAAGGCCAGTGTCTTCGCTGCAGACAGTGGTTAAACTCTGATCTGAACTCATCTGTCATTTGACATGATTAATCTCAGGAAAATAAAATGGGTAGGTAAAATCTTGGGAAAGCAAAAAACACAGGGTAGCCTGAATACAGAGAGGTGTTTTTGTTTTGTTTTGTTTTGTTTTGTTTTTTTCTTCCCTTGATTCTCAAGGTCTTATCCTCCTGACTCTTTAAACATGGAATATTCAGGAACAAAAATTAAAAAAAATATATATATATATAAAAAAATTGGACTTTTGTTTTCTCTTAAGCTTTATAGCAAATTGGACATCCCCATCTCATCCCTATGTCTTTACCCAGAAAACATGGTTTTAGTATTGACAACAAGAAAAAATACAAGAAGCACAGGCTATGAGGAGTTAAAAGTTAACACTGATATTAAAAAGAATACTTCCTCCAGGGGGAAATAGCACAAAGCTAGCAGAGCTAGGCGAAAGGAAAGAGCGGCTGGCTTCATTTAGTAAGGGAGATTTAAGTAGGTGCTGGATGTGCTTTGCCTGTCACGTGCTGGCCTGTGCCCTGCAGATGCTTCATCTTCCTCCTGCCTGCGCCTTGGGCCCTCTCATGGCTGAGGTGCGGATGCCCTCTGCTCACCATGGCTCTGGCACGTGGTTATCTGGCTGTACGTGGTGTCTACAGCCCTTTCTGCTCTCCTCTCTTCCCGCAGGTGCTGGTTCTGGAGGGCCTTGGAGCCATTTGGCAGCATGCTCTGCCACCTTGGGCTTGCCCCTTGGGTTGTGCTTAGGGGACATTTTCTTAGGGTTCTGCTAAAACGTTTGTCCCGACTCTTATTCATTGAAAGGGCCGTAAGAGACAACCTGGAGCCCATTTTGCCAAATGCCCATGAATCCAATGAGGGCAATCTGACCCTGGCCTGGTGTGGGACTGCAGGCAATGCCCAGGGGAGCCATGGAAATGGGGATCTGCTCCATAATCTTGGCCTTGACAGATGTGCCACGTCTCCGTAAAACCTGTGTGCTGTCTGAACTGGTTGTGGTCTGTCCTAACATTTCTATGGTCCTGGCTGTTTCTGCTGCCTCTTGAGGTATGTCCCCTTAGAGATGTTGCTGCATGGGGGCAGAACTCACACCTGGGTTGCATGGTGCTGAAACAGCGGTGTCAGCAAATTGTTAAATCCTTTGCTGGATCGCTTGTTTCCTGCCTTCTCTTTCATTTTCGCTTTCGTAGGATTATATAAATAAGCTTTCTCCCAGCTTTAGATGCTATTTTGCATTCATTGGATGTCCTTGTGTGTCTCGTAAGGATGTTCCAGCTCGTTTCTATGGGCCGTTATTGTGTAAGATCTKGCCACAAATATTCTATTTTTCCTCTCTGTTGGCTACACAGCCCTTTTTAACTGGTTCGCGTGAAGGCCTTGCTCGCAGGCTATTCCATGACACATTCTCTGAATATTCCATCTGATTTACATTTTTGCCCATAATCTTAAATTCAAACCATGTAATTGTACATGGGCTCAGTTTGCTTTGAAACTCAGATATTTGTCTACTTAYAGGGCAGATCTGGGAGCAACAAAATAACAGACTTTGTCATCAGGTGCTCTGAAGAGAGATATAAGTTCTGTAGAACTTATATCTCAGAGAGGTACCCATATTTTCAGGTCATTCAGCATAAAACTAAAGGATGTGTCAATATATAACAAGACTGTTCCTGAAAACGAAGAGGAGGTTCAGGTTGAGTTCTTCAGGTGATCACTGCAACCCAGAACTAATTCCTAGTTAACTGAAGAATTTTTCTCAGTAGCAGAGCTCCAAAAGTGGCTTAAAAGGATGCCARCATCCTCACTGCAGATGGGATGCTACAGCAGGAGAAAGGGAGGTGGCTTATTTGCACACTTCTGGCAGGACAGTGGCTGTTGGGGACTGGAACCCACCTTGGCTGAGGCCTTGRCCCTTGCTTTGCTCTTTGCCTTGAATCAACTCAAAGGAAACAAAACAAAACAAAACAAAGAGAAACTTTGAGACCTAATGAACAACATGTGTGATTTTGCCTACTGCAAGATACTAAGATGTCCTTGAGATTATGTCAGGCTGTTGCACCTCTGCTTGTGGCTGGACAGGCTCACACTTGAAATGGTCACAACGGACAAATGAAAAGGCCTCCATGTCGCAACCCCACAGTGTGAGGACACGCTTTGCTGCAGCCTGATGGCAGCTGGGCTGAGCTGGGTGCTGGGCAATGAGGTGGAGCAGCCGGTCAGAGGTTCATACTCCACATTTGGCTGGGCARCAGAAATGGAAATTAAACTCTAGCAGGGGCAGGGCAGGCAGCAGGGCCAGTAATTTTCTTCAGTTCTTGCAACAAAACTTACCTGAGCTCATTTGTCAAGCTTTGAATTGTTAAATCTATAACTGTAATTAATTAAGAATTTCTAATTACCCCCAAATGGTGCTCTCTATTTAATGCTAAGGTGTGGYGAAATCCAGCGAAAACACAAGAGAAGCTGGAGGATGTTCAGAGCTGGAGATGCCTGGAGAAAAAGTGCATGTAGGTACAAATGGAACCAGATGGCTCAACAAGTTGGTGACATCTAGGACAGGTCCTAAACTGCCAAAGTGYCTGCCAGGTATTTGGGTTTGTCTCCTTGGGTTTCTTATAAGGGTCCCTTTTCTAGAAAGCAAAGACCATCAGTGTTCTCGGCAGAAGATAACAATGTAGAGCCCAAACCAAGCAACCTAGCAGACTTATCCCCACTTCTGGAGAACTTTTAAATTGGCASATTGGACAAATTTGGGGTTCTTCAGAAGAACTGAAGAAGAAAGTCTGATGGGGATATTCCAAAAAACACCAGCACAGAAGGACACTGGCCCTGCTTGCCTAAGAGGAAACAGCCCTTGAGCTGTTCAGGTTTTAGCCTATGTTAGGTTAAAAACATATAGCTTTTAACKAGGTAACATAACCAGGTAACATGACTCAGATAAAAGTGCCATGTGGACAGAGGTGTTGATGAGAGCTACCATTTCTCTCCTGCTGGAGAGGCTACTAGTTCCCACTCATTCCTGAAAGCTCCAGCTGAAAGACATTTAGGGATGAGGCTGTGACCTCATCTGATTAAGTGAGGGGGATCAGCTGAGTTTTGGGCTGATTCAGTTCAGCTGTGCCAAAGGCACCAGCCCCAGCACTTATTTTTGAGCGCAGTTAGGCTCAGTTCCTTCCCTAGGATGTGCTAGCATCTTCTCTGGGTTCAGGTAAGGCTCCTGGTGGGACATGGGTGGCCTGTAGGGTGCAGGCGCTGCAGACAGGCCACATTTACATGTCTATGAGGTCCTTGTTGTGAGAACTTGGAGGGAGGAGAAAAATATGCATGTTTCTAGGTAAACGGTGGGATCTCCTGCAGAGACTCAAGTACTGTTTTCTGACTCCAACAATAGGAAATCCTTGTGTTGTCCTGGCAAACAACTGCTGGTGCTTAGTGGWTTTATCTGGTGGGAGATAGGAGGTGATAAGATGTCAAGAGGGCCATTTTGAGGCAACTCTTCTAAGCTTTGCTGCAGAGGGTGTCTCCAGGATTTTGCAGCTAAAGTGTTTTTTGTTGTTAGTGGTTGAAGTAAAAATGGTCTCTTCCTGGTGCTGCCTTGGCTGCATGCTTGATGCTAGTATTAAGTACAGTGGGGGTGCTGTGAAAGTGATGATTTTTTTTTTTTCCTCCCCCTGTCCTTCCTTAAAACTTGGTGGCAAGCTATGGGAGAGCTAATTGCCTCAGAAAGAGTGGAGGAGGTAAAGATGAGAATGAATTGTTGGGTGTTAGTTAAAGAGGTAGGTCTGGGAGTGGGTGAAATAYGTTGAATCAGTTTTAGGGCTTTCTTTCTGTTTATCTCAAGTTGCTCAAAACAGGCAAGAAAGCTGGATCAGTTGCTTGGGTCTCTCCAAACAGTGCAGTGTGGTGGGGTTGCTCAGGGCATCCCCACTGCTCTCCTCAACCAAACCCCAAGGTTTTCCCGCCATGTCYGCTTTGCCGTGTGAGCTGTGGCGCGTGGCAGGGAGCTGGGCTTTGGGCTTTCCTTCCACCATAGCAGGCCGCATGGGCTGCACCGGAGCACGGCTCGGGTGCTGACTCACAGCAACAGGGCCACCTACTCCCTCATGGGGCTCGCCTGGCCAGGGCCTSGCAGGCCCCGGCTCCCGGCAGGCCCTGGCCTGCTCTGGCAGGAGACCCAGCAAGAGTGGGGCCAGSGGTGATATGGCCCCAGGCCATCGTCTTACATAAAGCACACATGTTTGCATAATGTGTTTTACAAGATTAAAACTGAGGAAACTTTTTTATTGTTATTACTATATATTTTTTATTTGATATTTTTATTTTGCATAAAAAGGTATGGAAATAGGTGAAAGAGCTTTGTGGGATGGGATATCAAGAACCTAGGGCTTCCAAAATGGCAGTGCCTGTAATTGAGGTCAAAATGAATTAATGACTGGGAAAACTGCTGGTGTGTGTGTAGGCGGGCAAAAGGACAAAGTGTATAGTGGACCAGCGATAGGGAGAACCATTCCTTTCAGAAAAGCTGTTTCCATTCCCCAAGCCTGTTGAATGCTGCATATTGGAGTAATCTTCCTGCTTTGCAGGGCTGTGGTGCAGCCTGGTTTGCAAGAGCTTGTTGAGCTGTACAGCTGAGGYGTTTTCTGCCTAATTACAGCAGGTGACTAGGATGCAAATGCAGGGGTCAGAAAATGGCCCATGTGYTCCAGAAATTCACCTGATTGGAAGGCTTGGCCAATGCACAAGTGACTGAATTTTGTGTGAAGGCAACAATGGGCTAATCTGATGATGTCTTGGCACCTATCTGCCAGGGCATCCCATGCTGGTGTCTTTTCTCCCTGTAGGACCTAGTGGTCCTTCTTTAGTGGAAAAATATGTGGAAATGATAGGAGTGTGGCAGGGGGAAAATGCTACTGCCATGGGCCATATTACCTAGAGCTGCCCCATCCAAAAATAGAGCAGAGGAATCCACTGCTGTGGGGAGGGCACAAGGCAAAGTCAAGCTTCTACACATTGCTTCTGGCTCAATGTCACCATGGGCTTGGGCATGCTGAGTTCCTATAGCTGTCAAACTGGGAGACTCTGAGGAAAGCAGGGCAGAGATGGGGATTTTAGGGCCCAGGCTGGTGCCAGGGAAGGTGCTTTGGCCCCTCTCTGGGAATGGAGATGGGCAGCAGAGCTGCTGGGAAGTTATTTTTGGCTGTTGCTCAAGGAAATGACTCTGATTTTAATAGCTGGTTTAACTGAACCAGCCAACTGCTTCCAGCACAGCCCTGAAGTCGTCTAGGTCCTGAAGAGACCAGGACAGGAGGCAGTGCTGAATTTCCTGGGAGGTTTTGTTTTTACAGGCTTTGGCTGGTTAATCTCTCACTGAACCACACTTGGCAGGACCCTGTGGCTGTGGTCCTCTGCCCAGGGCCTGGCAGTGTGYGATGAGTATAGCCATGCCCACAGGGTGCTCATGCCTTTGTGCACCAGGAAAGTCAATGGCTTTGTGTTGGCTGAGATGAGAATTTGTGTCTTGCTGCACATCCATCCCACATTACCTGTGGCCAGGTCATGCATGTGTTCAGGTTCCCTAACAGTTACTGAAATAAATAGCAATGAAGTACCAAGGTGCCTTTGCAGATCTAGGACAACATCTTCATGTGCTTCCAGCACATATGTCTGGGTTGGAGAGAGCTGGCAGGAAGGCAAGTGGTTACTGCAGCCCTGGGTTGGAAAGGATCCCTGATAGGAACCTATGCTGTCTTAGCATGTGTAGTAGAGACTGACTGTACCAGGAACTGGACTTTCAACTGCAGGTGGTGGTGGAAACAAAAGAAAACTTTTATATCCCCCTATGTTTATAACATCTCCTCTCTCTTTCTTTGTCCCTCCGGAAAGCAGACTCATAAAACAACTAGCTTGGGAGAAGGAGGCTGAAAAGAAAGGAGAAAACAAACAAAACYTTTCCTTGCCTTATGCAAGGGTGCAAACTGAAAAATAGAGGCAAGAAAAGGAAATACATAAACCTGTTAAAATAAATGATTTTGTGTACAGTTCACAAAGTCTACTTAAATGGTCCATATAATTTGCAAAACACTCTGTTTTCTTTCTTCCCATTCTTCTCTTCCTTTCTTCTCTGGATTTTAGAACCCTGCCCTTCAAGGTGTCTCCATGTCCTGGTCTGGAATGGGCTGTGTGATTGTATGGTTGCTGCCAGGATGAGCCAGGAAAAGCTGTCCTCTTGCATGGCTCCTTCATGTTGTTCCCTGAGTCTGAAATGCAGCCCAAATAAATGTGTGTTTAGGGGTGTCAACAAAACTTCACTCAGAAAGGTGGAAATGCTTATTATATGATGCATCAGAGCCTGGATGTTGTGGAGCATCCTCTCTCAAGAGTTTAATAAGCTCATTACAATAACTAGTCAAGCAAACCAGTCTGCTCTGCTGGGTGTGATCCCTGGATCTGATGTTTTGACGTCTGGCTGTTGGAAATCTCGTAGCTGATTTGTCCTGCACTTATTTTTGAGGCTTACAAGATGGTTGTATGCAGGCTACTCTGAGAGTGTGTCTGAAACACTTTGTGGATGGCAGAACCTGTAATTCCCGTTTCAATCAAAAGATCAGTGTGAAGACACTTTGTGTTTTGAGGAAGAAACCCCAAAACTTACAAACCTTGAATGGGATAAATAATGAAAACAACTAAGTGTCTTTCTCTGTTCTTTTAGTCATTGCTGATGAAGAGTGCTCCCTCTGGCATGTGTTAGCAGACACTTATGACACAGGGGAAAAGGTGTCAAAAAACTTATTCTGTTTCTGAAAATACGTAGGTTAAAAAAAAACTGAGGCAAGGACTCCCTTTCCACCAATGTTAAAATTTAGTATCATCAGGACAGCTAAAAAGTTGAATCCCCTAGACGGGAAGAAGTGTGGGGTAAATCATCAGACTGCCCTTCTAGGTTGTCTGCCACAGTCTGGACCTAGTAGGGCAGTTGCAGGACACAACTGAAGGGAGATTTCAGCGGTGTTTTCCAGCACACAATGAATATGGGGGTGTTGATGGTGAGTCACTGCTGGACTAAAACACTGCCTAGCAATGCTGCTGGGATGAACCTTTTTGTAAACCTATGTAGTCTAAAGGTTATTCTTCCTGCTACTTCTCTTGGCGGCACTAACCTGCTGTGACAGTGATGTTGCTGGCTGCAGCTATAAATCCAGCCTTCTTGGAGATGTAAAAATCATGCTGTATCTGGGTCGAGATGGGCAGTCAGATTAATTCGCTGCTCTGAAGTTAGCTTTGCTGAGCTACAGTTTAATATGATAACTCTTGTGCGTCAGGGTTACAAACTGGGGAGAGGTGTGACTAAGAGCCCCCTTTCCCATGGTGGTCATGTGCTGGGCCACGCTACCTCCTTATACAACAGGGTCATTTGTTTCAGTACAAGAGATCTTGCACCTCTAATTTTTCCATGCAGTCACACACTTCTGAAGCTTCAGCTTCCTGCCTGGTAAATGCTGCTCTTACCTAGTGCTTTACAGCTCTGTAGACTTATTAAAGCACAGCTGCTCTTCTGCAGAGATTTGTTCCCAGGAAAACGATGGCTTACTTGGGGTGCTTTGTTTTGAGGGATGGGGGGAACCAGCCAGGATCTCRTGCCTTATTCTTCTGGCTCTCCAAGTGCCCGTGGAATCGAGGGCATTGTGCTGTCTGAACCACTGGCCTCCACTGAATCGCGCTGCCCGTCTTTGTTGGCAGAAAGGGACCATATGTGTGGCAGGCAGGTGTCCTGCCGGCAGCAGCCTGCCCSCTCGCTTCGAAGCACCGGTGGGGTTTCTCACGTGTCGGGACTGGGAGCTCATTAGTGGAGGCCCCATGTGAAATCTGTGGCCGACKGTGCGGGTTGCCTCGCAGCTTGGGCTGTGTGTGATTATTTCCATCCCCCTCTCCCGTGGAACAGCCTCTTTCCGCATGATCTCCTCTTCCAGCCTTCAGCACCAAGGGCAGCCCGCATGGATGTGGGGAAGGCACAAGGTTAGCACAGGGGAGCTCTCCCGTATCAGCTATCGTAACGCATGCATCATGGTGTGTGAAGTCACATACATCTGGATATGTGAAATACCCCACGATTAGAGAGGAAAAGAAGTTTTGATAGGTTTCAGCTTTGTGCATGTCATAATTTCCCTTCCAGTCTGAGGGATTCCTTCACTGGAGAGACCCTTACTTCCTTTATTGCTTCTCAAAAATCACTCTTCCACTTTACATGACTTTGTGTTTTCACCTATCACTTAGGGTTTATCCTTAATTCCTTTCATTACAGATTTTTCCTTCTGTTTCTGTTGCAGACATGGTCTGCGTAGCCCTCTTAATTCTGCAGGAAGCTCCCTAGAGCAATTCCCTRGTTGGCTGGTGAGGACTATTGCAGCTGTGATGGCTGAGGTCTGGGGTCCTGCATCCTCTGGGCAGTGAGGCAGATCCAGYGAGACATATGCGGAATACCAGTTTAAGCAAAGTATTTGTGGCAATAAAGGAGTAGACTGAGAGGCAGCTATAGAGCAGATTGTTTGTGGTGTCCTGGAACAGTATCTATAATACAAACTATTTCATTCACATGCAGTTCAAAAGAATAGTTTTAGTCGCCACTTTTTGAAACCTGAAACGTGTTATTTAGTTGTCTGATTTGACAGTTATATGCTTTTCCAAGTATCTGATTGGATAGCTAAATTKCCATTTTGGATGGGTACATGGATAGATGTAACCTTTTCCTGTGTGTGTATTTTTCAAAAATTATTGTTTGTTTTTTAAGAAAATGTGAATAATCTTCTGTGCATGTGTATTGGTGAATTTGCTTTTGTAAAACAAAATGGGCAAAGTAGACAAAGGTGAAGAGTAGTGTAATTAATATATATTTTTAATAATGTCTTCATTATTTGTACAAGTGGGAAAATTTTATCCCATTTTAAGTATAACGGGGATGGATGGAGCAGGGGGATATATTAGGCAAGCTAGTATCCAGGACAGAAGGTTGATGAAATGACCAGCCAAACTTACCATTAAAAAACAAAGAAACAAACAAACTAATGATGGAAGATGGGGGGGGGGGGGGGGGGGGGGGGATTCAATAGATGTTGTATGCATAAGTTCTTGTTTCTGCCAGCATATTCTCCCTGTGTTTGAAGCTCCTTTCACAAGTACTTTGGGTACATCCATCTCCTTTGCTGTAGTCCTGAGCTAACTGGGATGTCTAACATATGCAAGGCAGCTCATGGCAAATCAGGAGGTAGTTTGGGGAAATTCTTAGCTCTGTGGCCAGCTCATGAGGAGCATATGATGTTCAATGAATGATTTTGTCTTTGAAATTTGGGTCATGAATGGCTGCTAAGATATCCCCCTTGAAACCAGGAGACCTTTTTTGCAACAAGAAGGTAGATTTAAGAGCCAAGTTTGCATGTTGTAAAATGAATTGTAAAATCCTCTAGCTAGGAGGTGGGTTGCTCTTGTAAAACACGTGCTGTACCTTTCCATGGGCTTTTGTAATCTCCTCCATGGAGATTACTATGGATTTTCCCACAACTCTAAGCAACGTATTTAGAAATTCTGCAAGCTAAGATTTTGCATTTAAAAATATTAACACTGAATAAGACTCTAGGGTCTGTGCTTATGACCACTCCATACAACTGCAATAACAGTGTACAAATGCAGATCTGTGTGCACAGGTTTTAATACTTGGATTCATTCTTAAGATATTCATAAAATTCCTTTTCCAGATTTGGTTTTACTGTAACTGATGAAACTGCCTGACTTGAGCAGTTCTGAGAAGCACTTCAGAAATCTAATGCTTAACATTTCACTGTGCATTTTTTTGGCTTCAAAGTGATTTTGTTATGTCCCCAGAGCCTGGTTAAATCCTTAGTTATAATGATTGCACACTGAAGGGTGCTGTTACATAGAAATGCTGTCCCATAATGGCTTCGTTGCTGTGGAAAATCCGATGTTATTTGGTCATTCGCTATGAGTTCCCTAAGCCATCAAGACATTTGCCTCAAGGCTACAAACACAAAGCTACAGGCAAAACCCTCTGGACATAATGAGTGGGCATTTATGCAGAACTAAAAACTGGAACAGCTGAGCAGTAGATCTATGAATAGCAAGCATGCCTCGAAGCACAAAAGACATCATTCTGGAATAAAGGGGTTTATAATGGTTCTGACATCTTGTATGTCAAGATCATGCTACGTTGTTGTAACTTTTTTTTATGTTTGTTTGTTTGAACCACGTTCCTTAAGTAAGGTTTGAGTAATTAAAGGGTGTGAAGGAAACCCTATAGCTTTAGTAAGAACAAAAATTGGGCAACTGACACTTTTGGCAAGATCTATCATTTTGCTCATGCTTGCTAGGGAACAAGCTTATTGCTTCTGTGCTGTTTCACATCCCCAGTTTCACCCTTTGGGATTTCTTGGAGATTTTTTCTTATATAGGCAGTTCTGAAAGGCTTGATTCTAATATTAACTGAGAAGTTTCTMCTGATGGAAAGGCAAGGATTGGGCTAACTATAAACTACAGGGTAAGAGGAGTTGGGCAGTACGAAGGAGGGTAATAAAATTCAGAGTGACCTGGATCAACAAGAAGCTGGAGGAGCTTAACATTGAGAAATGTATTGCAGTGAGGTTGCAGATCTTCAGGTGATCTATAGGCACTGCTAACTACATGGCAGGAACCAGATGGAAAGGAATGTGCAGCTCTTGAACCAGGAGTATAATGAAAACCTGAACAGTGGATAGAAATTGGAGCAGGAGTTGGAATATTGAAGTAGTCTAGAGGGGAAAGATGGGGGACAGAGCATGTCAGAGCATGCAAGGATGATATACTCTCTTTTTACTGTTTCTACCTAGAGACATGTCTGTACTGTTTCTGAGATTATTGATTTCAAAGAGGCAAATTTTGGACTGAATTTCTAGTGCTCACATTAGGGGAAGGGTCGAGCAGCCCTTGGTGACTTAGAAAATACACAAGTTCAAACAAGTCAGTCCTTGCAAACTATCCTGGGCCTTGCAAAACCATCATCTGCAGAGATGAGCAAAGCCTAGTACTGCAAAGTTCCTACAAGGAAGCATGGCCAAGGGATTAGGAGCTAATCTCTGACCTGAGAAGATCTGATGAATGTCTACATAGCAGGTTGTACTACAGCCCAGAGATACCCGAGCTGGTTGGGACTAGCTCATTTGGCAGAGTAACCTGGCTCTGCACTTCTGGGGTACTGGAAGCAAATTTCCTTCTGTCAGTAAAGTAAGCTAACCTGCCCGRGGATCGGTGCAAGTGAGTTCAGAAAGCAGAAGATATCAGAACCACATAGTCTACAATATTTCCATCTGCCCTGTTTCCCCTTCTCCATATTTCTTACATGGCCATGAGCAAATTGCTATATTCTTGGCATCTACGTTTCTTATCGTCATTCTTATTATCGTTGAAAACAAATTATCATGCCTATCTCTTATGTTCACCCTGGAGAGAGGTACAAACCGAACTCCGAGATGCCCAGATATGGCAGGCTGTTATTTAAATGCTACTTAAATGCTTCTGCTTAGAAAGGCAAAAGGATTAATTTCATTATCCATCCATCTTCCTCACAGCTATTACTGGCACCTTGTCCTACCTGAGAAAGGGATCCTGAGGCCTGATCAAGAGAAGGACAACTCTGCCTACTGGTAAGTCACTGCTCTGTGGCCAGTCTTGAGAGACTACTTGGAGGTGTGTGGGACACATTCACAGAGCACAGGAATAGAACTCTTCCCTTGATAAAATGCTGAACTAAAAATTAGAATTTCTCCTTGGTCAAAGTGATATTAGCTGCAGTTGTCAATAGACCACATCATCACAAGCAGTTTCAAGCAAAGATTTTATTTGTCGCCTGGAAAGCTGATTTTACTCTTGTGTATTATTTTATCACTGTTCTTCTTTCCTCTTCCATTCATTCCCTTTATCTCTTCYYTGCTTAGATCAAGAAGTAGCTTGTGAATGAGCAGCAAAGAGGGATCTTGCCTAGTGGCCGACCAAAACCTGCTTCAGTTGCTTGGCTGTTCACACTTTTCTTTGACTGGAGATACTGTTTTTGCTGTTAAATATTTGTGCAGTTATAAAGTGAAAAAGGGGCATAAAATTTCAGTATTTTGCACACCAGTAAGTGAATGTTAGATTATAGGCATAGCAGGAGCAATCTATCAAGTTGTAGGGTTATGTGTGCTGGTGGGTCCTTCCTTATCCATTTGTCTCATGCTGCTCCAGCTAGACGGAGCAGGTGCCGTTGTGTGCTGACAGCAAGTGTAGTAGAGGCTCCTGAGAAGCAACTGACAACAAATKCATCAGCTGGATTAAACCTTTCCTCATGGGAGAACAATATAAGGTCCACAGCACAACTCTCCTGACTTGAGGAGAGCTGGCTCTGCTCCTCAGTGCGGACTTGCCTGCAAGTGCTTCTAGAAGCTGATGTTCCCAGTGGTTGGCAGGGTAAGAGCTCTCCTACTTTCACATGGAATGAAACTATCCCGGCGAGTCAGAGATTGCTCCTTTTCACGAAGCATCTTCCTTATGCAGTTCATGTGCTACAGATTTGGTAATAACAATGCAGACAGAAATAGCACTGCTAACTTATTTGCTTTGTGATTTGTGGTCGGATCATTGCATTTCAGTGTTTACTGATGAAAGGAAATTACTAATGAGATGCTGGTATTTGCATTAATTGTGGCTTTGAGGAGATAGTCCATAGAGAACTATAGGAAAGCCAGTTATTATGCATCTCCCTACCAATTAGAATGAAACCCAAAGTTTATAAAACAAAAGTTGATCTCAAGCAGATTTTAGCTGCTACTTGATATTTTTCATTTTCCTGGGGCTGGGGGCAGAAGTGTTGTTTTGCTTTTGCTTATCCACTTTCTAAAAGTCTCAAGATAGCATGTGTGCTACAGCAGAAGATACTTGCACACCTATATTGCTAGTAGATCTGGAACTGGCTGTATTTACACTGTGCAGGATATTAATATTCAAGGAGACCTGGTGGAGAGGGTGAATTATCATGCATGATRCATATAAAATGGCAGGAAGTTCTCAGTTGACATCACTGGTTTTGATTGCTGCTGTTTGACCTCTGTGGAGCTGTGGGAATCTCTGTACAATACACAGATTTGGCTCTAAAAACTCTGAAGTAGAAGCACGTTTCACTTGTATCCCATTAGATAATCTTGCGAAAGTCTTAAGACCCAATTTCAACTTTGGTTAGAACTGTTTCTGGACACTAATTCGGTGCTTTTTATGATGTTTGATGTATGATGAAAAGTAATTTAAGGTTTCTGAGGATGACTCACTTGCCAGAATAGTAGATCCAAGAAACACACRCAGATGTGAGATTTAAATTCTTCTTTGGCACAAAACACTGCCAGGATGTTTCATGCTAAAAACCACAAACCATGCCCAATGGAGACCAGTAATGCTTATTTATTTTTTTAAAGCTTTAACTACTAGGGTAGCTTCTGATTTTATAGGTGAGCAGACCTGTGTATGTCTTGTTTTTTCTGTTTTTGGTTTCCCCCCATGCACACACTATATCTCTATATTTAACTATATTTGTTAAAAAGGAGGGAATTTGGTATCTGTGGGGAGACTGCTTGGGTCCCCTTTGCTCARATCCCACTGCCAACACTTCTCGTCAGTCACTGTGAATCCCCAGGGGGTCTGGGCTCAGGATCCTCTGTGCCTATGGACACCTTCATGCTGACCTTTCTTTGGGATCATTCTGTTCACCCCTCTGCTTGTCCAAACCAAAGCTGAGAGCGCCGTTCGATATATGTCTGGCTACCAAAAGGCTGCAGACTACATGTAACTGGCTTTAATTATGAAAATATAATTTAGTTCATGTTTATAGGATAATTGTTTCTTTTTTAATATAATTTAAACTTTGCAACACAAGAAACAGGCCTGAACCTGTGGCTGGAGTGTTGGAAACTGTCTAAGAAGATTAAGGTCTCTTAATTGATTTCACATAAACAGGTGTGACTGAATTCATCAGAAGAAGGTTAAGACTAAATGTATTCTGCTAATTATGCTGAAATTGCCACAGTAGGTGCTCGATTGAGCAACTGGCTTCCCTTTGCAAGTGGGATGAGTTCTCAACTGTCAAGTGGGAATATTGACACTTCCTAAGCAAACGAACCAACCTGTCATTTCATTCTGGAAATCTACGTTGCAGGTAGATACAGTGTTAGTGGTAGATCTGGCAGCAGGACATGGGAACATCCCTTTTGTTACATGCTATAAGTGATGGTGTGGGAGGACAGGTGTCAAAGCAGTGCTAGGTCTCTTCCTGAATTTTAGAAATTTGTATCTATGAGAATCCCAGTTTTAGAGAATCAAGGGTCTGACTCTGAAAGAATTTCTGCCTTCTCTTAATGCTTATTTATGTAAACTCTATAGTTTTTTGTGCTGGRTTTATCTTTAGAGATGTATAAAATGGATATTACTGTAATATAAAGATGCCCTTTGTCCTGAGTTGCAAAAAAAGAGTAGAAAACTTTTGCAGCTGAGAACATTACCTATATATCATCTGTATGTTACCTATACTCTCTGCTTTACCTGCAATTTTCTACAACCTGACTAATCTTGTACTTTATCCTTCTAATCTTACATTTTAAGAGAATAGGGAAGAATTGATGGTGTGTTGCTCCTAGCKTTAGCAAGGTCGGAAGCACTGCTCTTGATGCATCTTGTCACACAACCTGCCTAGGTGGTCTTTGAGATGGACAAATCTCACAGTGCAGCATCATAAAGGCACTGCAATTACTCGGTGATGTTCCTGACMAAGTCATTTGCTGACGAAATAGTTCTTGGAGTCTGCAAATTGAAGGATGACTAGTATTTAAGGTGTGTTTTCAGTGGCAAAATTTGCACATAGAGAGTGATCTAAAATTAGTTTAGTTGCTTAAATCACTGTTTTGTAATTGCTAAGATAATTTGCAATGTTACAAACTAATCTAGAAAATCATATTCCTCTTGCATTGCTTTTAATTTTAGAAGACAAAGGCAGATTTGGATCAAGCAGGACTCAGGACTTGGTAGCTCTCTGACTGTGTCTACATTCAAGGTGAACAGCTATTAAGTAATGAAAAGCTGAATGTCAATTTAAAAAAAGTGCATGTTTAAAAAAAAAAATATATATATATAAAAAATCACGTCTCTACAGAACACTTGGAAACAACCATTTAAATTCAGACACCAAGTTTTATGTTTACTATTATAAGCATTCCCTATCCATTCAGACTTTCTGCTTTGTTTGGGGAGTGGATAAGGGTCTGTGAAGTGTCGTTCCTAATCTCAGGAGATCCCAGGAGAAAGACTTGCCTGTATGAGTCCTGAAAACTCAGAGGTGCAGAGGCTGCACCACTTTGTGAACATGAGTCCATGTTTTCATGCTGTTGCCAGATCATTATATAGCAGGACTAAGGCCTAGAAAGGTTCACAGATAATCTTAAACTCTGATTGATGTTGGTAAAGCATCATTTGGAAGACTTTGCTGAGGTCTGAGTGATGCGCACAGAGGAAGAGGTGGACCAGGAGAGCATGTCTGGAGAGAAAGGACAAAAGGTGACAGGAGAAATGTGGCCTACAGTGAGAGATTGAGTTTGGGGTGCCTTTGCTTGAAAGGGCAAGACCAGGCATTATAAACCGTCAAAAAAAAAAAACCCAAACAACAACAAAAAAAACTATTCTCTATGTCCATGTATCCATAAGAAGCTGTGTCTTRCATATAAAGCTATATATCAAGGAGGGAAAAAAAAGTAGTAGGAAGATATTTTACTAGTGTCGTGTTCAGCTGAGGAGAAGTTGAACAAACACCAATATGGAATGACAAAGGGAAGAGCTGCGGGATTGCTTGAGATCCCTTCCAGCCTTGTCCTTCTATTGATTTTATTTTTGGGGGGTTAACCGCTGTAAGCGCTCTCACATAGTGAGTTAGAATAAGTCACTTTAAAGGGTTGTGATTTCAGTTGTTGAAAAATCCTTCCTTATTTCAAGCTGTCAGTTTAATTTTCTTGTCCTGGATTTTTAGCTTTTCTCCTAAAACTCATCTTCAATAAATAGAAAATGATCAGAAGATTCTTTGTCAGTTCTCTTCCCTCTTCTCTATAGAATTACCTATTGATGGAAAAAATATTTAACAATTCTTGAGGCAAGAAAAACAAATCTTGAATTAGTCCGATGGTGAAAAGAGTTGTTTTTTTCTCAAAAACAATCCCCCTTTTTCTTATTTTTTCCCCCCCTTCTCTCTCTTTCTCTCTCCCCAAATAGGCATGATCAGAAACAAGGTTGTATTCTACATAATCTCTGGGTAAAGTTTCTAGCTCTTACACCACAATGATTTCTCCACGTACTCACTGTCCTTAATGTTTCTTTCATTTTCTGGAAACCTGTTTTCTAGTGAGTGTTTAAGGCTTAKTTTGGCAACTTGTCACAGAAACTACTGTCTCTGGGCATCCAGGCTCCACTTGATGTGAGAACGGTGTAAATGCGCGGGCTTCTTTGCTTCTCCAAAACTTAGTCAAGAGGGCCCAGGGCTGGCAGAAACTGCATTGGAGTTGATAAAAGCTTAAGCAATCCTAAATATTCAGATACATTAGGGCAATTTATATTTACCCACTAATGTGAAATTCATTTGATCACACTAGTGGCCTGGGCTGCCAGTTCCTCGCGTTCCTGGCGAGCGGCTCAGACCCGCTCCTCGGCCCGTGCTCCGCGGCAGGTTTAAGCAGGACGGCGGCTGCGGGGAGGCGGTTGGAGGGCTAGGTGCCTCTCTGTGAGCCCGGAGCGTGCTGCTGCACGGCTTGTGCATGCAAACGGCATCCGCGCCTGCTCATTTGAATGCAAACCAGTTGGAGGCAAAACATCTTCAGGGCATGGCTGGAAAGGGGGAAGTGATTGATTGGGATATGTTTCCAAGTGACTTATCTAATCCAGAGTCATTTTCCACATCCTCTTCAATTGATTAAAAAACAGCACAACGCACTGAAACTATTTTGCTCTCCGAGGTGTGAGGTTATACAGGAATTACTGGTACTTTTCCG